ATGTACAGCTTTGAGAACAGGGCTTCAAAGGGCGTTCGTTGGTTGAGCAGGTCTTGCGGGGTATTGTTGTACACGAAGACAACGTAATCGAAGCAGTATCCCCACAGGGTTGAAGGAAGGCCGCTGATGGTGTCCGTATCTTGTTGAACACAAACTCGTTGGCCTTCTCGGCCTGGTGGTTTTCTTCAAGTGTCTTGACATTCGTAAACTTCTGGCGGATGCCTCGGGCAAGGCAGGCAGCTTTGAACGCGGAGCTTGTGTACTCCCCACCCCCATCGGTATGCAACATACGAACACGGGTATGTGGGAGTTGCGAGTTGAGGTCGCTCACCAGTGCATCGAGATGTAGGATGGCGTCATCCTTTGTCTTGAGTAGCTTGCCGAAGATATAGCGGGACGCTTGGTCGATGAACATGCTGGTGAACGATTCGTGATTGACCGTACGTGGTTTGACGGGGCCGCATAGGTCGCCATTCAGGCACTCAAGTGGATCGGTGGGGACGTAGTGGTGCGTGTTGCAGAGCGATACGCGTTTCGCTTGACCTTGGGCGCACCCATCGCAGATGTGGTTGGTCGTAGAGCTGTCAATGCCAGGTAACAGGATTGGCTGGATAATCTTTGTCACTTGTCGCATGTCCGTGTGGTTGAGCTTGTTGTGCCAGTGGCGTAGCTTGGCATCCGAAGGAGGATCGAGGGCCCTGTCGGTCGCCAGTGTTGTGGCGTTGATGCGTTCGGCTGCCACGTCTTGGAGGACGTAAAGGCTGTCAGACAAGGCGAAGTGCAGCTCATGGCCATTGAACCGGTGCACGTAAGGTGTCTTTTTCAGATCTTGATGGGCAAGCTGGTGGCCACTGCGAAGCGGACGGACGTGAGAGATGAGGTTCTTGTAGATTGTCGGTTCATATGTGACATCGTGCAGCTTCAACGTGGCGTGCTCTCCATTGCGTAAGAGATGGATCTTGGCCGTCCCTCGACGTCCCTTGACGACCGCTTGGTTGGGTAGGATCAAGCTAGACGTCCCCTTCCACAAGTGCATGAAGTGATGGTTGCCGGTGACGTGGCCCGTGGCGCAGTTATCCAAGGTCCAATGATTCTCCGTGACTCGCCTGGTGTCGTCCACAGTCACAGAATTAACATGGTATTGCGCAGCGTCAGAGTCGGAGTCGCTGCCATCCGAGGTAGGACGTGGGCGAGATTTCCCGCCATATGTCCCACGTTGCGATTGCCTACCCCCACCGGCTCTTTTGTTGACGTAGTTGGGGTCGTATCCCGGGTGCCCCTTTGCTTCGTGGTCTCCTTACTTCTTGCACATGTAGCACCAAAGGAGGCCGTCGTCAGTCTTGCGTCGCTTGTCGCACAGCTCTGTCAATCGCGTTTGTAGTGCGTTGATCTCCAGCGTCATGTCCTCAATGCCCTTCGCCTCGTAGCTGCATTTGCGTTGAAGTTCCGCGTCCCTTGGGCGATCGTGGCGCTCGTCATGTCGATTGCCTCGCCTCCTTTCACGGCGTTTTTCTTCTTCGTTCAGCAGCGCACTGGTAAGACCTTTGCGTTTGACTGCATGACCAGCGGTTGGTTTGAGATGGTTGATGAAGGAGTTGTAGTTGTCCGGACCGGAGTCGGGCAAGGAGTTCAACAGTCACTTGACTACTTCCGACTCCGTCATTGCCTTGCCCATGTCAACCAGCTCGAGGATCGTGGCTCGTACTCTAGTGATATGCTTGAGCATGTCAGTTTTCGGATGGCAGCGCAGGCTGCAAAGCCGGCGCAGGACGTAGATAGTATTTGACCACTCCTTTGTCTCGTAGTTCGACACCAGCGTACGCCACATTTCCGCTGGGGTGCTAACTTCGCGGATCATATCGAAGACTTCATTGGAGAGCGAGGTTTGAAGGTACAACTTGTCCAGGTTGGCTTTGTCCTCGTACTCGAACGCTTCGACTTCCGCGGCGTCGTAAGGTAAGACGTAACTCCCGTCGATAATGTCCAAGATGTGGCGCAGTTGACAGACGTTTTGGAATTTCACCCTGAAGGCCGAGAAGTGCTTTCCGTTGAACTTGACCTTTCACAGCAGGTCCTTGGCCTCCGACTTAACAGCCCGCAATCCATTGGGCTTGGCCGAATCGGTAGGTTGAAGGTCGTCGAGTTCTTGTTTCTGCGCAAGGAGCATTAACTTGAGTTGTTTGAGCTCTGTCATAGTATCGGCGTTCAAGTCCGTCGCACGGGTCACTTTGGGGGAGGTTGCTAGCTGTCCAGTGTCACTGTTGTCCGCGTTCGAACGAGAAGGCTGAGAATGAGCATCGACATCCCCGACATCAGGATGGGTTGGCATGGTCTTGGGCTCGGACGACATTGGTTTCAGAGCTTGACGCTGTTAACCTTACAGAAGGCTTAGCGTAGGTATAACGAATTATTGACCCTCCTACTGGATGGAAACTCAAAATGAGAAACCGAACCATCGTTCTTACAGAAGGCTTAGCGTAGGTATAACGAAGGTTAATTCAATTATGTGTGGCCGTAGTAGGCATTACTGAAGAGTCACAACCTACTGCTGCCATTCAATGTTGAGCTTCACTGATTGCGTGTGGCGGTTAAACGGAAAACCGGATATTGTTCCATCTGTTACGTTCGTATACCAATTCGATTTGCTCGTACGCGCCAGATTTCATACGACGTGGCCTTGGGAAGCCCAAATCGCGCGCTGGTCGTCGTCCATTTGTGTTTTTAGCATCGGATTGAACATTGCGCGATAGGACGTCGATGGGCAGCGGCTCTCCAATCACTTGGTACACAAACGTCTGTTCATCCGGGTCAACGATTTCATGGCGCTCAAGCAGCGTCACGTATGCTTGCGACTTCTCCAGAGCTTTCGCATAACGCTCGGTGTGGTTGCGGTGGATCATGTCGCGATCCCCGAGCACGGCGTCCGTCGACACGAGGCGGAGAAGCTCCTGACGCCGAGCTTGGTACGCCTGAGACCCCAGAACCGGATCTAGGCACATCTGTGGCTCGAATGTGGCCGTGGCTCGCTCCTTGTTGAGGTACAAAGGCGCCAGGTCGGCAAACGGTGACATGTTGATAAGCGGACGACTTTGTGTGACGATCGTGGAGAATACGTCGAAGTTGGAGGTTGTACTTCGATAATCTCAACCAATCCGAGCATTTGATATGCTTCGACATTCGATTATTTCCTTGAACAAGTTTTCGAAAAAGTATTAATATCACCAATCATAATATAAATCCCCATAACGAAATCGAAGTTGGCGACTCCTTCGACCCTCCTGGTGCTGGATCTGCGTCGCCTCCGGAAGACCGCCCCCGGGTTTCACCTGACGCTCCACTCTCTGGGGCGTCAGTAAGGGCTAGCCACCACTCCCAAGGTACGTCGGTGGCTAGTCCTTCCCAAGTCCTTCCCAAGTTTTCGAAAAAGTATTAATATCACCAATCATAATACTACAGTAGTATAAATCCCCATAACGTTACGGTAAATCCCCATAACGTTACGGTAAACGGTCCTGATGGAAGACCAGCACTCCCACATTGCAGTTTTGTACGACACGAGATTATGCCGTGGAAGTTCGACACGAATGTGGTATAAAGATGGTGGCATGCGAGGTCACATTTCAAAACCATGTCGGCCGCCCCATACCACCACCAAGCCCAATGCACCAGCGACGTTTGGTCCTTGTCATGTCCTTCCTTGGAGGACGACACTGCGTATGCCTTGGCGTTGGCTGCGCAGTTCGAAGCCGAAGATTCCGATGCGTTGGCTATGGCGTCGGCAGATGCAGCGCTGGCGCATGATTTAGCAGCCGCGAGCTCGGCTGGGTCGTATCGATCCTCCCATGGCACCTTTTCCTTTGATGATGGGGACAGTGATCGGGATGTAGCTCAAGCGTTGATCAACAGCCGAGGCTCGGCTACGTTTGATGAGTGGGCGACGGAATACCAAGTAGAACCAACCCCACTAATAAACGAAGATGCAGCGAGCATGGCACTGGCGAAAGCGCTGGCGGATCAATTTGATCACGAGATCGCGATCGAGTTGACTACCCAAGATATAGATGAAGGAGACGATGCCACAGACGTTGCCGACCACCGGTGGGAGACTGCTGACCTGAACGACGAACCAACCCCTGACGACACCAGTGCTGCAGCAGACACACCCGTCGTACGGAGTCGCAACCGCCGAGTGAGTTGGTTTGCCCAATCCTCCAAGTCGTCTATGCGCAAGGGCGTACGGATTGCACTCGACTAAGTCGCCCCTTTATCATGCATACATTTTTTCCATATTGTAATTTTCACGTGGATTTAGCCCCCCGCATACCAAAGACTAAGGCGAGAGAACGGCACGTTTCATATACAGCAAGTATGTACATTGCCCTTGGTCGCGAGAATAGCTCATTGTCCTCGTCAGCTCCGTTGGTTGCTGTATTCACAATGTCCACCTAAGCCACTTAATATTCCGCTTAACGGATTGCAATGGGATTATTTATATCGATATCCTAGAAATCCCGAGGTCTTTGAATCGTGTGTCTGCATGTAGGACTTGGACGAGCTACATATCCCCACGTCGATATTTCCAAACTGGACTGCACTGCACGATGACTATACCAACATGTCGCGAATTCGTGTCCAAACCAGGCATGTAGTGTTAGTTGGCGCCGACATCCCCCGAGGAGTTCTCGTCGTATCAGTGCAAGGCACCCCAACTCCCACTTTCGACGCTTTTGGGCGAGTGTATTGCCCCTTGCCTACTGGCGCGCACTCAATTTTGAAGTTTGTATTGGCCTCCACATGACATGGGACGTATTGCGGTGTCGTGACCGTCGACGACAACTCGTTAACAGATGGTACCATGCGGAACCGAGTACGACTAAGCTTAGTACTATTAATAGTAGTACTACCCCGAACCAGTAGCAGCCATCCTACTACGGCTGCTACTGGTACACAACCCCCGCCCCCTCAAGCCATTCCTTCCAAGCGCGCCCCTCGCTCTCCCCTGAGCTGAAGCAACTGCTACTAGTCGTACACCTAGTCTACTTCCTACTAGTGCACCTACTAGCTCAAGCCCCATCAGCCACCCGTCCGCTCTTTCCTCTCAACCAAGGATCTCGTTAGAAGCCTCCAATGACGTGGCAAGCCCAGCAACGACCAGCTCGACGATTCCCCGTTAGCAGCCCCACCGTCGTCTTTTCCGACGGCGGCCCTCTAGCTGCAATGGTGCTGGTGCGGGTGGATCTGTGGGTGATGGTGGAAGGCATCGTCTGGTCCGGCTTCGACGGCATCGGGTACGTTCTGGATGCGTCCAGGGGCTACGTGCCTGTGTGCAGAGCTGCGGTGACTTCTGGCTTGGCAAAGGTTGTAGTCACGATCGTCGCCGCGCAGGATGTCCCCGTGACTGTTCGTTTCGTCCATCCGGTGCTCAACTTGCCATCGTTAAGTACTGCCCGCACTTGTGGACAGAAATCATGACAATGCGTCGCTTCCGTTGAAGAAAACGGCACATCAGTCGTCCAACGATGGTATGTATATTCATGAGCTTGTTGTGTACAGGTAACACAACAAGCTCATGAATATATGTACAGCTACGTATACCCATACGTAGCTTGGTGATATTAATATGTGGAGCACGGAGAGTGTGATACCGACCACGTTCAAGCAAAAAGGGGCGTACTTTACATCCTTCGGGGGGAGCCTCATGTGTCCAGAAACGAGGGCGTCCGGAATGATCACCCTTTTCCAATTGATCAAGAGAGACCTTGCGTGCGGAATGGTAGTGACCGCCAATTTGTACCCGACTACCGACATATTGCTCATCTCGGTGCTAGCGTCAAGGCTCAGCCTGGCCACCCAATCGCAGGTCGACGTTGCGTGTTGGCACAACTCCAACTACGACAGGTGTCGACGGTGGTACGTGACACAGTCCACTCGCCTCGTTCGGGAGCTCGTGCACCCCACGGATATTGCCCTGATGGAAGCATTGGCCAGTGCAGCGTCGAGGAAAGTCATCCCCCTCCGCATCGCATTGATGCAGTACGTTCGCGACTTTGAAGCCAGTCAGCTGCAAATTGGGCGCTCTCTTGATGGATAACGAGAACGACCCGTCGTTTGAGTTGTGGAGTTGTTTGCACGTGATTGAATGGACCCTAGGAAGCCGGGAAGTCGTGCGTTTACAGGGGGACATGGGGGCGGTCACTGTCATCACGGAATGGGCGGTTTCAAATTTGCAGGGGGTACAAGCCCCGGAAATCCCCGCCACATTTGCCACGTACAGTATGTTCGTTCTGGTGCGCAATACGTTACGGGGGTCATGCATTGAATTGCCGTTTTGATTGGGGTGTGTATTCTCGCCAGTCGAGGACACATCGATGGGATGAATATGCTTGAACTCAACCGCGTGGGGGGGATGGTGTGGGTTGGGCGGCCTCTCTTGTTGCTCTGGGGCTTCACCGCGCTGTGTTTACTTAGTACGTCTATGCTGGATGTTGAACCGGCGGGGTACACCTATACTGCGTTTCGCGTACCTGTGGTTCCGTGGTACAAAACGTCCTTAAGTGCGGGCGAAAAGACGAGGCTAGTGTACATTTTGAACGATGTGTCTACAATCTGGACCAAGCAATACACGCTACATTACGCCCCCATGAGCAGCTCGCTCGTGTGGCTCACAACTGTGATTTTGACTCAAGTGAATCCGGTGGTGCATAACGTCATTGTCGACCCGAAGTGCAAACTCGAACAAATGAACTTTCAAATGGTGTGTCAGCGTGGAGTTGTGGTGATTGGGAGCTCATCGCGACTGGCGTGGTTGGTCGGCATCATTTGCATCAGCAGTGCCGTGAGCTACGTCGTCATCCGCGTGGTGTATGGGTCGCCACTGCAAACCAAACCATGCAGTTCGTTGTTGCTATGTTCCGGGGCCAAGTACCTATTTGATAAGCGCCGTTGGACGTACCGAGATGGACGCCGCATCGGCATTGCTCAATGGTCTGTTAAGTGTCGGAATGGCAACACCAGCTACGTCGTGGATATTAAGTTGTGGCGGAGTTTTGCCATTGACCTCGACGACGACCTGCCGCCACGCATTTTCTACGCCGTGCCCCTGGCAGACTGAACCTCGTGGATACACGTCAAGGAGTGGTGAATGCAGGTTTATTGTGTGGGTGGAGACTGTTTGGGGGTATCCAGTGCTAGTATGTCCTGCAGATTGACACGTTTGGTACGTACCCCTGAACGAGCCCAGCTGCTTGATCAAACTAAACTTAGGGGTAGTAGATTTAGACTTCCACACAGCACTGCAAACACTTTTACCTGTACGGTTATTACCTTACTAAGAACTTAAGAACTTAGATGATTTAGCATCACGTACAATAATCAATGTCTTGCAAATACTGTAGCTATCGTTTACCACACATTGACACCACGATCAACAGCCCCCTCTAACGCACAAATCATTGCGACGTTATGTGGTCTATGAATAAGTGGCAACTACCGGCCGTTACGTACTACTGGCTAGTAATGCTTTGGGCTTGTTGATACGGTGGGTGTAAAAGTTGACGTATTTGAAATCGTCGTGTCGGTAGGCCTTGTTGGGATGGCAGGCATCGTAGATCGTGACCAATCGCTTGGCCATGTAGCACACCAGGGCCGCGACGAGGACCCAGAAGCTCACGTCCCACACATTCACTTTGTCCTTTCCTGCGATTTCACTTTTGCCCGTGGCTACACCAAACAGCAGGCTCACTGCAACGACCACGTGACCACGAGCCATGGAGAAACTCTCAATGACACATTTCCACTAGATCCATTCAGGGACGTAAAAGGGGAGCCCATTTAATGAGACCCATTGTAGAAGCCTTGAGTGTAGAGTGTTTGTTATCCATTGCAGTTGGGGGGGGGTTCGCGCCACCTACAGCTGACAGTCTACGACTTGTCTATCGGTACTTTTGGCCTCTCATTTATTGAGATCGACAAGCAGGTAGTAACCAGGTAGTAACCACCTCCTCCTTACCCACGTCGATGAGGCTATCGGTATGTTTGAGGGCGTGTCTTTACTGCACTGAAGACTGAGCACGTCGTACGTACGGCGTAATATCCCTGTATACTGTACTGTACTAGTACAGCCGAGTACTAGTACGGTACTATTAATAGTAAGTTAGGGTGTACTAGTATGTCAATACTCCGGAGTACAGTCTGTACAGTACTACGTAGTTAACTCCTGTGTTCACCTAATCGATCAACGTTTTGCTGTGGCGGATGTTTGTGCATTCAGTTGTACCCACTGAGTCGTCACCAAGGAGCTCGGTGGGGGACAGCGAATCTCGAGCTCACAGCATGCTGCCGCGATGGGATACTTTACTCAACCTCCCAATAATTTTATGGTATTTACTTACTGCTATATAAACCAGTACTCTAGTAGCTATGTAACCAGCTAGCAGTAACTAGCTATTACTAGTATTGTACACTGTACAGCCTCTGGGTACCCTGAAGACGATCCATATCAAACACCTCCCCACGTCAAGATCCACAGTATCACCTCGCTTCAAGAATCACCGTTGAATAAGCAGTAATCTACCCGTAACCACTTGGGCAAGGAAAACGAAGGCGACGCTGCCACGTGTTCAACGATGATGCGTGGCCACAAATAAGACATGTGACTGGTCGATTCTCGTTCTCCGGCCCGAGTACTTGGGACGTAGAGTAGTACCAGTACTGCGTAGACCCAAAAGTTAATTTGATTATTCTTCTGGTGGTCAAGAGCAGAAGATACTTCGGGAAGCGCCATATAAGCAAACGATGTGGCTCGAGGCCATCCATGCATTAGTAGTACGTTTTATTTTATTTCTATGATCACAATACAGTTACTGTAATGTGGCATTGCTGAGTAATCCTACAGTGCTGGTGCATACTATTAATAGTGCTGTACTGTAATAAGCTTAGTACTAGTACTAGTAGTCACTTTGTACTTCGCTGCAAACAGCTCAGTATTGGACTTCGAGGCTGGAAAAACGAAAATGGTATGGGTATTGTATCACTGAATCGGTCATATATATCTATCTATCCCAATCACAAGTGGACAAGGTTTGCGCGTTCAAGGAAGTCAAGTAGTAAGGAGGTTACTGTACCGTTCGTTACCTGGAACTATTAATAGTACCTAATCCTTCAAGTACTCCGCAGTACTAGTAAGTACACTTACTACTTGTAGTAGTACCTAATATCACGTCAACCAAATGTCTTCAATGCGCGAACCCCCTCCGACCACAAGAATTCTGTAAACCCAATCAAAAACAGTCGGAAGGACTGAGACGAATTCGATTCCGAATTCTGTAAGCTTTTCGGTTGTCACATGTCCAGTAACCTTCGAGTGCATTAAGACACGAAATCGTATACTGGTAGTCAGCAACGTTTGAATCACTACTGTAGCCCCCAAGACAAGCAAGCAAAGCTGGGGGACCGCTTTGTTCAGGGGACTTTTCGAGGAGCAAAATAAAAAACGAAACATATCTGCCTGGCCATGGGAATGTTGGCGACGACATGGATGCAAAATCGTCGTGCTACCCTTTTGATCAGACTGGCAATCGTTACGGACTGCGAGATATACGTGACTGGTAGCCGCCAACTTGATTCGAACCTAAGATGCTTCCATATTTTCATATTACTTGTCCGTGGTGCTACCTTTACATGAGACGCGCACATGAATATGAACATTGATCTTTGGGGTGGTTCTTCTTGACTAGAGGCTCACGTCCCTCCAGCATTGTTTGTAGGTATGTAGTTGGTCCAACTACATAAAATTACTACTACGTAGTACACAGCAACTCCGGTGCATAGACAAAGAGTTTGACGTGTTCACATATCTTATGACCTTTCCGACTCTTTGGATATCACCTTCAAGTTTGCGTACACGTACTGAATGCTTGAGAGAGATACTCTTCGATAGCACTCCGGAGTAGTACCGGTACCGTGTAAACTGTACATGACGACCTTGACGACGACGTACCGGTAGTCGCAGCCTTCGAGTATTTTCAGTTAACTTAAGCAGCTGCAGTCTGTAAATCAATGCCCATGTTGGTGCTCCACCAAACTCACTGTCAAGTCGCGTACTTGCATAGTACACCCGTAGCTTTTTCTAGTCAGCCAACATATCTGAGATGCCTGCGATGGACGGATGGGTGCGCATACAAAAGTTGTGATTGACAACCATGACGACGAATTCGATAAATGCACGAGTCACGACGATAACAACATACAAATATACTGTTGTATGTGTTTTGTGTTACCAGGAGGTGCTGCATACATTGGTCGTGGGCCTGTCACATTAAACAGTGGGACGATGAAAACTGCCATGAAGCGGACTTTAGAGTCAACATCCCACGCCTCGCTTGATTACCCTATCTCTGAACAATTGATTCATCTAACATCATATCGGGCACTTCTCATTTTGGTCCTTTCCCCCCAAGTCGCTTCTATCACTATCATGACCACTATCACGACAAAGGACAAGCGCCGGTACCCTGTGAAGGAGGAGCTAACCAACTTGCGCGTGGAGGCGTGGCACCTCGAAACCAAACTCATGGACCTGCAGCGACATCACCTCGGATCAGTGTGGAAGCAAGTTGCGCACCACGAAGCTCAAGCCAGGCACAATGCGCTGCAGGAAAATGCTGCTCTGAAACAAGACTTGGACGTTGCATCTCACTGGATTCACGTCATGCAGACACAGCCGACCACGGGGTTAACTTTGTCGCCTTTGATCACATCAAGGAGTCCCCCTCACACCAACCACAGCCACCACAGCCACCACCGACACAGGACCAATAACAATGTGGGCCATGCGTACAGTTAATGTCACAATATTACCATCTATACTTACAGTTAGTAAATCGCAAGTGGGGTATTGTGAATTCGCTATAACGTTATCGTTATACTTCGCGCGGTTGGTTGTCTAATCTGTATTGAATCACTCTGGAGTTCTGATTGGCTGACTATGCTTGACCTTTCTGTAAGGGCCAATCAAAACCACTCAAAATTGGATTAGCCAATAGCGTCGATTCGTGATTCGATTCGGCGGCGAGATTCGATTCGACGGGGTCTGGAAATTTGTACCGAATCCACAATATTTGTAAATGATTTGTTTGTAAGGTGGCTGAGTGTACTTCTGATTACTACCACCCCAGAGTTTCTTTGCCGTATAATTGGTCAAGTCGACTGACTTTATCGACTTTGTAAATGCATGAGGTATTAATACCAACCAAGCTCCCAAGGCACCGCTAACTCAAACAACTCACGCCATCATACTGTACTCAGCGATACATCTCACTCTGGAGGACATTCAATACAGTATCATATTTCCTTAGTGTTTAGACTTTGTTTTGTAAGCTCTACTAAATAGTGCTTCGACATTCGAATTACGAAGGGTGATGCGAGTTTCACGCAACAGCAAGGACAATACGTATAGCAGCATCACTGCCTAATGGTTCGGCTCACTGGGGGCAACCCCAAGGTTCCAAGCCAAAATGTGGAAGTGGAGGGAAGAAGTACCATCAATAAGCACCATATTATCGGGGAGTTACAGAATGGTTGACTAAATTATCTCAATGCTGGTAGTTTGCCCGAGACATACCAGGTACAGTGCGGATGTCCAGACTTTAGGCATGGTCATGGTGTCAACTATAGAAAACACGAATTACAAGGTTCTCGTCGCGGTTAACTGAGATAGGAAATCCAGAAAGAAGCTCAACGAGTAAGTTGCTGTAATCGACGTATCTACCGGTAGCTACAGTGTAGTGGACAGGCTTGATCCATGTGATTACTTGGTTTATACCAAGATGAAAACTAACTATAGTACGGGTGCCGCCACTGATGATGTTACGATGTGCGGCTAAATTTTAGCAACATATCAATGCGATCCTATTGGCAATTTATTTTCACTTTTCTATCATATACTGTAATTAATTGCCTTGAATTCATCCAAAAGATGCGTTTAAATGAAAATATAATATTCCATACACACATTAAGCTACTTTCAATAAAATTTGACCTATTTCAGATCGATTTATGGGGTGGCATCCAGACCATCCCTAATGGAATACTTCGAAGTACTATCTATCTCAGTGTTTTATGTATGGACCGATTTAGTCCATCGTTTTTATGGAGGTTTGTGTCCGTCCGCATTGAAGTCTTGTACTGCACTTCACAGAAATCGAATATTATTATTACTATACGTATAGTAATATTTCTCACGCAAATTTGGACTGTTCAGTCTATTCGATTCTACTGGCGACTCCAATTACGAACCGACTTGACAATAACGTTAGTAGGGGGGTTGAATACAACTGACATCCAGAGAACTTTGTAACGTGAATACTTTTTTTCTCCCTTTTACATGGGATATATGAGACTGTTAGCGGATTTTTGCAGACTTTACAAAATGGCATCCAGATCAACCCTAAATAATGTACAAGCTCGTATTGGATCAAATAGACTCGAGCGTCGTCGTGACTTGCTCATTTTAAGCGTTCACATGGTGGTGGCAGGAGAATGATAGTTGCGTCTACGAGATTTGAGAGTTTTTCATGTACTTTTGGTGGTCAAACTGCTTTGCTTTGGTAAACGCAACGGAAACTCTGCCTAAATCCTCGTGTACGCATAAAAATACTTCCCTGCAAAACACACAAAACAATGCTCGGCAATATGAAATACTGTAGTACATAATTTTTTACGTATACTGTTTGTTCTGAATGTTGCTGGGACGTAATTAGGCATCCAGGATTATTGCACCTTGTCCAATCAAACGGCTTGTCGGCCCTGATTCTCGCTCAAAGTCAAGTTGCCTATTTTTCAATCCAACAATTTGGATCGGTATGGTGGCAACGTTCGCTATGATCGTCGTCATGGTTGCTGCGCCGTTCGCTTCGCTAGCCTCTGCGGATGCATCCGACGATTGCTTTAGTCGAGTCAAGATGACATTGAACGCCAACGCCTCCCTTGTGGCCAGCCGTTCCAACTGCTTTGTGGCCGCCGTGTACATGACGTCGGAAGCGTACTTTGCATCCAAGCCCGATGATAACGCGATTGATGTCGTGGCGGCCAACGCCAACTGCACCAAGTGGTTTAACGAGATGACTGCAGCGTTCAGGGCCATCGATCCGCCTTGCGCCGTGCAGAACCCACCCGACGTCTTCCGCTACGCTATCACGGGGTCGACCAGAGATTTCAATTTGACGTTGGTCGAGTATTTAAAAAGTATGCGACAAGCTGCCTTGGCCCCTAAGCGGAAGAGCCAAGCTCCAGCGACAGGCCAAATCATTTGGCTATCGGTTATGGCTAGCTTGGTGGTGTTAGTAGCACTATAACGCCAGTGCTTTGTCTAGTTTTAGAGTGTTAATCAGGGCGTTCCACAGTTCTTGTCCCAGTCGCGTTGACGTTAGCATGATTGGGGTATGTACTTACTATTCCGCCCCCTGCTTTGCGAACATACATTGTTGTTTTATGTGATGTTGTCGAACGTGTGTCCAGAGCTCGCGGTTGAGTGACAACACTGGTACAGTCCGTTGCATGCAAATAATAATAATACAGCGTCCAACGTCGCAACAATGGATCAGCATGTGTCGTCTTTTAATAGTGCTGTATCGCAGCCTTTCACACTGCACACACAATGACTGTGTGTGTTTGCAACAGGTGAAACCGACGCGCGATCCAATTGCTCTGCACGCTACAGAACAAACTGTACAGGTAAAAGTGCCTGCAGTGGTGTGTGGAAGTCTAAACCTACTACCCCCAAGTTTAGTTTGATCAGGCTGCTGGATCCCTTCAGGGGTACGTACCAACCTTGCCAGTCCACAGGACATACTAGTACTGGATACCCCCAAACAAGTCGCCACCCATACAATAATACAGCATTCACTACCCCTTGACGTGTATACAATGTCATTATAAAGTCCACAGGACATACTAGTACTGGATACCCCCAAACAAGTCGCCACCCATACAATAATACTGCATTCACCACCCCTTGACGTGTATACAATGTCATTATAAAGTGGTTAAGGCAATGCAAGGCTCGCCAGTCTTACCGGTAGGGATTTCATCAGTCTGCCAAGGGGACGGCATAAAAATGCGTGGTGGCAGGTCGTCACCGAGGTCAATGGCAAAACTCCGCCACAACTTGATATCCACGACGTAGCTGGTGTTGCCATACCGGACACTTAGCAGACCATTGAGCAATGCCGAGGCGGCTTCCATGTGGTACACATCTCTGTACGTCCAACGCCGCTTATCAAATACCGTTGACAGTTGGTCCCCTAAGAGCTACGTCAGAGACAACGTCTAGGCCACGTTTGAATCGGCGTACAGTCGAAAGGTGCTTTACACAGAGCTGAATAAATTTCCTCGGGCGATTCGGGATCTGCGCGTCGTTTCCACCGTGCTCAAAGTGTACGCGCACTTCTTCCGGGTGTGATTGAATGCGATTCTGACTCAACAACTGCTGAGCAAGTCGAGCGCTGTTGGTATCGACGACGCGGTCAGCAGCTTGGCATTGACCAGGTCGACTAAATACACGGAAACCCTGTGCGGTTATATGTTGGCCAATTAATACTTTGACTCTGAACTTGGCGCTTCCGTTGGGGATGGAAAAGTAACTGCCGAGAAACCGCCGTGGCATGTTTACCCTTGTTGAAGGTGCGTACGTGTGTTGACGACATTGCACTGCCCAAATTCAAACCTCATAAATTTCGGATGATGGGATATGTAAAGCATAGCAACTTTTACGTCGTTGCCATTTGAACTTCTCGAATGAATGCAGCTCAAAATCGGTTGATCACTGATCCATCACGTTATTGCAAAAATTCGGCAAATCACTAATTGCTGTCGTTAGGTACTCATAAACACACCAACAATAAGGTTTCACTGAATTGCATGTTGCAGGTGAGACTTATATGAATTTGAATCCTTGCAATGCGACTGCCAACAACATCCTAATTGCATACATCTGGCAAGAATTTGTTCGGGTTGTCGGCTGCCGCAAGTATACAAAATATAACGCGCCTCCATCGTTTCACCATCCAAAGTCCTGCAATAAGACCATTACTGGCCCACAAAGGTCTTGTCCTCGGCCAACTTTGACAATACGTGGAGCGTTGTGACCATTTACAGCTGTTAACCTCGGAATCGTAGGTTCAAAGATCCATAATTTAATAAGCCACTACGAAAGTATATATACTAGTCGTATGATTGGCTAAAGTTAAAATGGACGTTTCAAATCCATCCAATCAATAACAGGTGCACCATTCTAACTGCCATGCCCGAGACCGGGCATGCGCCGCAGTCCAACCACCACACGACCATTGCGCTGTTGCAGCACTTGGTCAATGCGAAACAGGGAGGGTCTTGTAACGTTAGTATGGGATACAGTCCGAGTCCTCGAGGCAAGCGCCTCCTTCAAGAGCAACTCAATCAGGTGACCATTCGCATTTCCCTGTCATATTCTTCCGACTTGTATGGGTCAATAAGGATTGACATTTTGTCCTAGATCGGCCACGAACCCCCCCATAGACTCGCCTCCCCGTCAAGTCGCATGCAAACTTCATCGCCCCCCCAACAACAGTCCACTACGCTTCAACATCCAACGAGTCCCCGCCTGCTTGCGTCGCCCCGGCCTTCCCTGCCGCAGTCGACATATGAACGGGAGCGCAAGGAATCGCTGTTCAAGATGCAAATTAGACAAGTCGACGAGGCGGCGCTGGGAGCTCCCCGTCCAGTGACCAACCCCACGGCCACGACCGGTCTCGTTGTTCCAAGCCCCCCCCCGTCCTCGACGTTATCCCGTCGCACGTCGCACAAGACGCTTCTGGCCGAAGTGGGCGCGGCCAACAAGGCCAGTCAAGCGAGGTTCTCGGCCCAGGAGGTTACCCACGCCCAGCAAATCACTCACGTACGATGCAAATAATCGCCTGAGATTTGAGCATCTCGATCGTGGTTGCAACTGTGTGTCACAATCTGTACGATTTCGACTAGTTTGGTTTCAATGTCATACTTGAATGCGTGTTGTATAAAGTATTGTGTTGGCGGCATAGGACGTGCTATGCCGGTCGCTGGCCGAAATGAGGAACCACCAACGAGTCCTAGGGCAACCGACCCCCGGCCAAACCAGCACCAGTCGACGGCAGTCGGATTTGCAAATGCAACTGCACCAGACCCACGAACTGGCGCTGCATCGTGTCCGTCACGGCCGAAATATCCCCCGCACATCGTCCATCGCTGTCAAGCTACCCCCTCACGGTTTTGACGACGCTGATGTGTTCCACGTGGCGCTTCAAGTTGCAGAGCAACACCGCGACCTTCGCAAGTACGTATGATCAGTGGTATAGCAACGTATATGGCCGAAATATACCATGGTGTGATGGTGGTATTATTGAGGGGATGGGTGTGAATTTTTTCAATTGAAACCGAAAACCTGTGATGGAAATATATCTCATTCCGTGCATTTTGTGCGGATGTAGGCTGTCCAATGTCGTGCAACGGCAAAACCAAGACCACGGGGGACAGACGGTAGTGATGTCCTCTGCTTCATTGCCGCCATCGCACCACCCCGTTGCTCTGCCACCGTCGCAGCAATTCCCATCGCAACAACCAATCGCGTCATCCCCTTCTTCGTCTGGTGGCTTTGCCTCCCCTCGGCGCCACAGCACGTCGCCTGCCTTGGTCACATTGGACCTGCAGCACCACTACTTTCAAGTGATGTCCACCCTCCATCCCGATCGAAAACTGCCCACAAATGACCACAGTGTGGTCGTCACGGGCAACGAATGGCTCTCAATACACGAGTTTATCCCTCTGTTCTGCCTCACGTTTGCCTTTTCAAACACCGAGTGGGCAGCCAAGTGTTTTCCAGCGTACTTTGCCTCGAAACAGCAGTACGACAAGTCCCCCAAGCTGACACTAGTCGACTTTGCTGCGAAATGCCGCATGCTCACAAACGGCGCGGACGTGGACAAGGCTCGGTTTGTGTTTTCCATTTACGACCACGACCGCAGTGGTATTGATTGTCCTTTCGGCCCAAATATTGGGACGTTTGTGCTGATTTGCCAAATCCATCGATCGTGTTTTTTGTACTGATATTTGTATGTAAAAAAAATGGCTAGCGTGATAATGCCCATTACTATTTATGTCACACACTACTTACATGTAGTTGTTGTTAGGTTGAACTGATGATTTCCTGCTTGGATTGGCTAATATTGGCTAAATTCTTGTGTCGATTCTACTGCACATTTGGTTCTGTCGATACTTTCGGCCGATCTCTCCAGTTTTGAATAAACACGACAATAAACAACGAAGGATACAACCTGCTGACTTGTTTGTGAAAGAGACTGATGTTGTATGGCTATGCATTATTGGGATTAAAAAGGATGGTGTGAACTGTACACTGCTTGGGTGGGCGTTTCTATTTGTTTCGTGATTTATATATATATATAGGATGATTTCAAACGGTATATATAACACACACTACGTGACATGGGGATCACACTATGTGTAATTATCTGCTTTTGGGACAAAGATATGTTTTATATCGATGGTTCGTGACTGTCGTCGAATACCGACATTTAAATATTTTGATATTTTACGATTCGGACACTTTATTTTATTTATATAATTATATCGCATAGGCACGGTGGAAGTGGACGAAGTATTTCAAACCCTACAGTCAGACAAGGAAGATCTGTGGGACCAAGTGATTTTCTCCCAGCAGCTCATGGGGCTAGTGAACCCAAACCACGATGGCACCATGGGGTTCCAGGTAATTTAGTCAATTTTCCTACTATGTTTTGATATAGTAAATATATAGTCAATTTTTCTACTATGTTTTGATATAGTAAATATATAGTCAAATTTCTTCTATGTTTTGATATAGTTAATATTACTTTTCTGTTACGATCATAGCTTCCTATTATTTCGTTCGCCCATACATAGTCGACCCGTATAACTACATACTCATGTGTATACTATTATTCTGGAGTATATATATATATTGAGCTAAGTTTGTCGACTTAAATAGGACTTCTGCACGGCATGTCAGAAAATTCCCATGTTCTTCACGTGCTTTACGGGTCCGTTGCCCGTGCGACTGTCGATGCATCCGGAAAACGTCAAATATCGACTCGGGTTGGTGGGATTTCGATATATTTAATACCATTGCGTGTTGTAGACTCAATTCCTGCCATATTGTTCACCATTTTCAATAATCACGTTCAAATGTGTTGGTAGATTGAACGCTATTCGAAAAATGTGGAGCTGTGGCGTCAAAGAAAGCAGTACGTTGCGTCCGCTCGTCCTATTTTGCAGCCAAACACTGTTGGCGTTGAGTGTTATATCTGACAAAGTGTTACCAAATTGTATATATGTGGGAGTGGTGTTCGTTCTAGTGCCTATCAGTGGCAGTTTCGATTCTTACTAGTATATTGTAATTTGCCGCTCCAGTTTTGTCAATGACAAACAACTATAGTGCATTTTACGCTCCACAGCTACAATGTATCCAGTCTCAAATGTGTTGACCCCACTGTCCTACCTATTGTCGCTTGAGTCTAAATTTGGATTTTTGTACTGAAGTTTGTACTTGGATGTATGTAAAAATGTAAAATTTGTGAAGCCATTCACACTAATTAAAGTCACACACTACTGGTTGTTTTTCAATGGTTGCAGGAAAACTCTGGTGGGCCACTTGAATAGTGTTATGGTTTTCGATTGGTCGATCGATTGTCTGCTGATTTGGTGCTTTGAACACTCCACTATATATTCGAATCGAATTGACAATACCTATCGAACGAACCAAGTACTTTGTCCACTTCTGCGCACCATCCTCTACCTTCGTAGTACACTACACATCAACGTTTGTGAATCCATATTTCCTCGTACACACTCCCAAGCCCACTGACGATTTTCCGCTTCTGTTATTTTTATATATATATATATATATTGATTCTCCACTTCTATATATTCTTCAAATATATATTGTTAAGTCGATTCGATCTTGGAGTGGGGTGCTGAATCGAATGACACCAAATCGACAGACAATGAAAAAACTGACCAATGAAAACCCACAACATGAATCCATCAAAACCCCACTTCGATCAATGAAACATCGAATTAGTGTGTGACTTTAATTAGTGTGATACTGGACTCACATACAAAAGTCAAGAATGAAGAATCGATCGATCGATTTTTGCCGAATCAGCACAAAAGTCGGGTAAAAGGAGAAATACTAATTTTGGATATTAAAAAATTAGCCTCCAACGACAACCACGACGCGATCGACTCGGCGGGGTTCAAGACTGTGATTTCGTACTTTTTCCGATTTGCCCGCTCCAGCGCCATCGACCAGGCGCTGGCCACGCGGTTGTTTCAATCGTTTTCATCGAGAGGTGACGTCGTGTACTTTGGCGAGTTTATCGCGTAAGTGTGTGAACGAGTACGAGGAATTCTCTCAGACGAGACGGTTCTAGTGGCATGTCGACCCTCATCCAAGGAACGGTCGAAGCGCGAGGACGAATGATGCACGCGGTGCGACAGTTTACCCTTGTGATTCGATATTGTCCTTTTACCCTAACTTTGGACTTTTGTGCTGAATCGCTAAAAAATCGATCGATCGATTCTTTGTACTGAATTTTGCTTGTAAACAGGGGTGCTGTGGCGATTTGTATCACACTAATTAGAGTCACACACTAATTCGAAGTTGATGATGGTTTCCTGCACTCTGATTGGCTAAAACCTTCTGCAGATTCTTCTGTACATTTGGTTGTGTTGATTCATTATTCTCCATGTCGCTTCAGTTTAGAATAAACACAACAATATTGTGCTTTCGAGTGAAATTTCAGTGGTTTCTCGTTGGAATTTAAATCAATTTGATTGGCTACCTCAGATGAGCTCAAAATTATTAGCCAATCAAAACCTTCTAAATCAAAATTCAACCAATCAGATCGATTGTGGATCGGTTTGGTCGGCGCGATTCGATTGTACCCCCTCCCCAAATTTGTATCAAATCGACAATAACATGATTGTTGTTGTTCCTAGGTCTTGGATTTGGACCGAGGAGGCACAGTCACGAAAAATGAGATTCAAATGATTTTGCGGTCTCGAGCGAATATATTGCAGCATCAAGGTTGTCGTGTTGAGGAGATAGCATGGCATGGCTTTTTTATTATTATTATGCAAATATTCGTGTGTTGTTGTATAATAAATACTGCCGTATTTGTTTGCACCAGTTATTAATTTGAACGATTTATTTAAATACTGTAGTACAAGCTTCGTTTTAACTATTTCTTTCTCTATTTTTTTACATTTATACAACGTGTTTAATATTTCGAATCTGCATTTACTATTTGTGGATAGTGTGAATGGTACTGTTTTTTCTTTACTATATTAACAGGGTTCATAAAAATAAATAAAAACGAATTTCATAATTAAAGAATGCGTTAGACTAAATAATTCGGCGATAGCTTTCCATGATAGATTTGAGATGATATTGAACTATATAATAATATCTACGTTCTACATTCCATGGTGCCGAACAACGAAAAATATGGTAGTATCCTACTTCCTCTGTTCCAGGTTACTGCCGACATTTACTTTGAATTGACACACACAATCGAGCCCTCACTCAACGAATGATACTTTGAAAGGGAATTGCATGAATTTTCGCAAAAGATTGGTTTATAATCAGCGCTTAAAGCAATTGTAAGCCAATGAAATGTCATAAATGTTCGATATTGATAGAAATTGAACTTCTGTACATGTCGTACCTTTGCCTCCTTTCAATCGATTTGAACAATTTATTTATATGTTACAACGTACTTCGAAGTAGTACAATTGTATCATTGAGTTCATATTCTATGGACTTATTGAATTATATCTTCCGTTCTAAGTAGTACAATTGTATCATTGAGTTAAGATTCTATTGACTTATTGAATTATATCTTCCGTTCTACATATTTCATATATCAACGACAAATACAGAAGTATTGGATTCTATGTTAGTTGGACTAAAAAATATTTCTCGTCGGAGACAGTAGTGCATGTTACTTCAAAGTCTTTCGAACAAAAATATCTATTTTCAGAGTTTCGGGGACTATTGACAACACTCCTGTGGACTTTGTAGAAATCAAAGACTTGCATTTGGAGCGCAATGCAAATGAAATCATGCGGGCGCTCGACGAAAATGGCGACGGCGACATCTCTGTGGACGGTAGCATACATACTACCCAACGAAGATGCCAATATCTTCATCTGGGGTTCGGTAGAGTTTATGGCGGCCGTGCGGCGGACGCCACATGTGCTGGAAGCATTGCAAGACATTTTGTTCAGTGGATGCCGCCTCGAGTCGGATTTCGACACGGATGCGTGGAAGACGTACGGCAAGATACGATGATGACATTTGACGGATGGAGATATGAGTAGGCAGACGCAGAAAGGACTGGACCGATCCAGTTCGTGGCACCGCAACTTGGACGAAGTGGTGGCACACCCGGACAACCTCATGCACGACTTCAAGAAGATCTTCGTGACAGCCGTCAAGAAGGTGTCGGCGGCGACCACGGTACGATGACTTGAAACAAACGACACTGAGTGATGCACCGTTAGATTCGCAGACGGAACATACACCACAAGGAGAAACCCCCCAAGCCTGCGTTTCCCGTCATTGTACCGTCGTTGTTACTTCCCATTGCGCCGTCCGCCATGACACCACGCAGCGCCACGTCCGCGTCGCCGTCGTGATGACGCAATCACAGTATAACGAGATTGAGAAATCGTCAACGACTATTATTGATAACGTATTAGTACCGTTTACGGTTACTGTACTGCATCGTTCTGCTTGATTGGCAACACAAATTTGTTCGTTTTTACTGCACCATTTTGCAGTTGTACGTTGGACGAATGCCCGATGTATTTGGCCGTGGTCCCGATGTATTTGGCGGTGTGTGCCCGATATATGTATTGAGCCTTGTGCCCAAGCAATTGAATGAATTGTGTCGTGTGCCCGATGATATTGGAAAAACTCAACTCAATTTTTAAAAATGATTCAAAATGATAATCATGGAACATCCACAACTTCTATGTCGTGGGTGCATGGCCTCCGCTCATCTGTAAAAATATTCGAGGCGTAGCGCGTATCGGTTCTAACGGGTAGCATCGACTCCTATGTAGCCAATTCCGAGCAGGGCTTTGCTTTATCCCGTTGGCGAACACCACGGATTTCCAGTCGTCGTCGTCTCTGAACGCTGCGACTACACTCGTTGCTTTGTGGAGAAAGGTATGCGTTTATAGGGGCCTCGTGGCTACAGAGGGAGTTATCTAGTACTTCAATTGACATCATAACCGGAGTTCGAGAGAGTGCAGCGACGTCCATGCTGTGCGTTCCTTGGCGATTTGAATAATTAGCATTCAATATGTTGGAGGAAAGGGCAGATGGCCTTTTGCTTGGACACACGGCTAATTATATTGGGCACACCGCCAAATATATTTGGCACTCGACCTCGGTGTTATGGGCACATAGCTAATTTTATCGGACACACCACCAAATACAGTATATCGGGTGCACAGTCAAGGCATTCATCCAACTTGATTGCATACAGTAGTAGACCAATTACTACACTAGTACTACTAGTAGTAGACGAATTGCTACACTATTAATAGTTAAATGACTTGTACCTATTAGCGTAAACCAATTGCGTTAAAAGCGTTCAAACGTTAAGTTCCTGTTTTTACGCAGTTCCAATTACTGCGCCGTCGCACCCTTCACCCACCATGGAGGTAAGGCACTTCTCTTCGTCATCAAGAATGCTATCGTTACATGCACCATGCATTCCCTGCTGCTACCAAGACCCACCGAGTGAGTCGACTGGCGCAGCGTACACGGAGGCAAGACAAATGCTAGGCAACACCCCTACGCTTCCACGTTTAACCGCCACCGACTGCGACGGCGCCGAGCTTTGCCATGCATCGAACGTACAAAAGCACAGCGCCGCCTATCGCGGCAAACATCGCGACATCCTTCGTGAAAAGAATCGCCAATGGAAACTCGCCAACAAGGAGCGCGTGGCGGCTCAAAAGGCCGCATATCGCGAGAAGCACCGGGAAAAAATCCGTGCCCATGACCGAGCCATCTACCGGATGAAGACCCAAGCGACCCAGCAAGTCGCACCTTCGCCCTCCACGTTGTTCGAGCCGCCTAGATCGAACGTTGCTACGATGGGCAATGGCGGCGACACCAGTCCTAGGTCGTTCACGGAGCTATTGTACCCATGCTTACAGCTCCCCCATCCTCCAGCATCATCGACAATATCACCGCTTGACGAACGCTTTCATCCGTCGACCAATGGCAGTACTCCGTTGATCCCTCCCATGTTAACAGAAGCCCGCGTAGCCCCCCCTCTTTCCCATCGATTGGTGGTCGTTGCCGAGAAAGTTGCTGGCTCCCAGCGCAACGCCGTTGACGTGGCCAGTGTCACCACATACCCACTTCAACCGATGGTTCCTTGTTCTTCAAACAAGGAAGAAGTAGTAGTTTGTAGCAGACCTTTAGAGCGTGAACCCAGCCTTAAGCAGCAGCAACGTCGAAATCGCAACCTCACCAAGCAGCTCGAGTACGACCGTACGTACCGCCGCCGCCATCAGGCCAAACTCGCGTTGAAAAGCCGACAGTACTACCTAACGAGTAAAGACAAAGTGATCGAGTACAAGGCAGCTCATAGGGACCAGGTGCTTGCTGCCAGTCGCGAGTGGAAAGCGCGCAATAAGGAGCGCGTCCAGGCCCAGCGGAAAGCATATCGGGAGCGGAATCTCGACAGGATTCGGGAACATGATCGAGCAATGTATCGCGCCAAGAAGGCGGCCCAGAGAACGAGCGGAGTGGGAGTAGAATCGACGGGAGCGGGAGTAGAATTATCGACGGAATCCGTGGTCGTGCTCTAACAAAGATGTATCAAGTACGTTGTAAGTACTAGTGTTGGTTTTGAGAGATATCAGGGGGTAAAACCACGAAGTCACTATAATCGCGGTGTGGGGTAGTTAGTGAATGCTAATAACGCTAGTAAATATTTGATCGGGTAGTGTCGTTACCTGTTTAACTAAACTTGGCAATTCGACGTCAATGCAAATGGTTTTGGCCCAGGCAAGTAAGTCCGCAGAGAATGCATCGTGTAAGTATTGTAATTTCACTTTATAGTACTTATAGGTATACTGTATACTGGTACTAGTATTGTGGATCGATACGAATATCTCGCCACCAAATCGAATCACGAATCGACGCTATTGGCTCATTCATTTTTGGGTGGATTTGATTGGCTCTTACAGAAAGCACAAGAATATTCAACCAATCAGAACTTTCAATTACGTTATTATTGATTAGACAAACCGCGCGAATATTGGAAGTTTATACTTCGAAGTAGCGAATTCAACATATCACCCAGCGCAATCCAATTTAGTAGTGACAAGTTTTCAGCGAATTCAAAGTTACATTACATAATAGTGTTGTGCGAATACATGTAATACATACTCTAGTCCGGTAGAAGTACTATTTTCATCGAAAGTGTAATATTGTTTTAAACATTGTAAAACGCTAATTGGCTCAAAATATCCACCTCGCAAAAATGAATATCCATGAAAATCCGGTTAACCGATTATCCGTATCCGAAATATTTGTTGTGGACTGACGTCTTGAATACTCAAAAGCTATACTAAATATTTGTATACTGAGATTAATATCACACTGTATTATTGTGGGGCAGTCATCATGCTGCACGTGCATGGCCTGTTCCGCCGCGCCTCCGGCCACCGCCGCTTCTACTCGAACCTGAACCTCCCCATCAAGACCTCGGACATGGTTGAGTTCGCGGTACGAGTCAAGGTATCGGAGCCGTTGGCGTTCACGTTGCCGTTGCCTGGACGTCCCGGCCTCACTCGCATCGACTTGGAGCACACTGGCGGGTCCAAGTCCACGTCCGAGCGCGAAAGCGTCGGTCACTTCGTCGCGACGCTCAAGGAGGTACTTGACAGCTATCTCCGCCCTCTCGTTGAAACACCCGTAGCTCGACCCGACCTTGACGACCGTGTCAGTGACCACCATGGACGGGGTCACCGTGAGCAAGTATGCCAGTCTTCGTGCGCTGGCGCCGGTGCCGCTTCTCCTTCGCTTGAACACGGCTACGTTGGAGTTGGAGAAGGAAGGCACTGTGGACCAAGACGATGCCTTGAACGAGAGTGAGAGCTCGGCGTTTGGCACTGTCAAGCGATACATTGAGCGTGATACTCGGACATCGGTGAGTTGCATCCCCCTCTTTATATGGACACTATTATGTATTGCCTTGTAAACAAGCACAATATATATATATATATATATTCATCGTAGGAATGGTTTTCAACATAATTCCAGGAATATATTTATCTTGCTTGTGTTAATATCCATATGACATTTGATTTTATTGGCTTTAGTGATATATATATATATGCTATAAACTAATCAAAGCGATGTCGTTCATATTGGGGTACCAAACAGTATTCTATTGCTCACTATTGTATTTATCATGACTTTTATATCACGAATGCAGAAACTGTTGACAGGAATGATATTTTACAAGTCTATAAATGTATATATATTTGTCAACAGTTTCTGCAAGGTAGAAGGTAGATATATATGTATATCTACCTAAAAGGACAATATACATATGTATATTGTCCTTTTGCGCTGAAATTTGAGCAGCTTTCGAGAATCGATTTGAGTCATATTTTAATAATCTTATTCAATGTATGGTATACAAATTTGAAGATGGACATTTAACGGGGCCAAACTATACTAATCCATGATTGGTAGAAATGTTCAATACTCAAAAACTGCATGGTTCAACTTTATTAGATTTTTCGATTACTCGAAATAGTCCAAATTAAAACGGATTTGACACCCTTTATAATAAATATGTGTATATACACCATCTTTCAAGTATTCTTTTTATTGTTCTTGTGACGATCTATCTATGTATACACTCGATCCAACGCGGTTCCTCTCTCACTGATATATATATTGTCCATTTATTCTCAAAAATTGGGTTTTTGTGCTGAAAAAAAAAAAATTAATCGCCAACTCCATCGATCGCTTCTTTGTCCTGACATGTTGTAAGAAATCGTGTCCTGTGGCGATACTGTATGTATTCTCACACTCTAATTTCAGTCGTACACGAATAAATAAAATGTCTGCAAATCGGATGAGCTGCTCACTTTTAGTGTACATTTGTGTCGATTTTGATCATTTTCTCCATGATATCGCTCCAGTTTAAACTATAAAGTCAACAATAATTATTTCTAGATTCCAATCGATCAATTCTACCACATGTGCAAAAACGTGGGCGCAGACGACTCGACGTCCAAGAAATGGTTAGCGGAATTTCAGCGTCGTAATCTGGTGCTCCATTACGACCAGAGCAAGGACGAAGCACTTCGGAACACGGTGATCCTACGCCCAAACAAGGGCGACAGCGCCGCCGCCTTTCAGAGCGCATTGGACCCAGTGCTTTATAACCTCAAGCATGTCCGTTTGGCCAAGGAAGCGCAGATCGTGCAAGTCACGGACGAGTGGCGGAAGCTGGCGATCACGGACACGGAGCTCAAGGCGGTGGCTAAGAAGACGCCGAATGTGAAAAAGTGGACGGGGCTCGCGTTTATTGCGTCGGTACGATTGTGTATGGCTTGGTTGTTTATGTGGGTTGTTGAATTCCAAATGCATTGGTGTTGGACATATATATGTTGGACAAGTATGGTTCGTGAATAATATATGAGCGTGTTGTTGTATATGTGTGGTTTGGATTGGTGTATTGAACCATGCTGAAGAAAATATACCTGTTACAAATAATAAAAAATGCGTTTATAAAACCAACCATGATATTTATACTTTCAACATACACATGTAGAATTGTGCGGGATAAGTCTACAACAATTAACATAAGTCTACAACAATCAACTGACACGATGTGTTGCCGATTATATATATATAATCCGTTTAGCTCGAATGTGGACGTGATATCTGAGTTGAGACTCAATTTGGATCGGATGTGTTTACCCTATTTTTAAGGGATGGCTTACAAATTTCAAGATAAACAGCACTTGGACTCGGCCAAACTATACGGGTCGATGATTGGTTAAATTCTACCTTAGGGCCCTAGCTTGGGTTCTATATTTTCTTTAATTTTGTCGTTTGTCAAGTTTATCATTCGAGTCGTGTCGGCAGTCCAACTTGGAACGGATTCAACAATATATATATATATTTGTACTTTAGATATATATCCAACACCGTTATCGAGAGGCACGACACTTGTCTACCGTTAGTGTGAATTTAATACCACGAGCGATATTTGGTCTCGTGTGCAGCGTAATATCAATTGGGTCTTTTAATATTGTGTTTTTCACCCAAATTTGCACTTGGGAGTGATTTCGCTTGTATTCCATTGAACTGTTTGAAGCTTGTACATACTATACTATACAAACAACATTCGTATATATCTGCTGTTGCTCCATGCGGCGAATATATAGAAACGTTTGGATTGGCTAAAGGAATGGAAGATATAATATATATTGTCCTTTCAACCAAAATATTTGGATTCTTGGGTTGATTTGCCAACAAATCCATGGATCGATTTCTTGTCTATTGAATTTTGCGTGTAAAAAACGCATGGTCCTCCTGCATGCATACGACGAATTTCAGCCACACACTAAATCGAAGTGGAATTGGTTCAAGCGAGAATTTGATTGGCTCCTTGATTCGTATGTGTGTTTTGATTGGTCGAGTTTCGATTGTCGATTTGGTGGTGTTGCTCATTCGATTGAGCACACACTTCAATGTCGAATCGACTTGATAATATATATATTGTAGTTTTACACGGGTATGGGGTACCTTGTGTGGGACGTGTACTCTTGGGATGTGATGGAGCCGATTTCGTACTTTGTCGGGTTTACGGCAGTGTTGGGCGGGAGCTTTTACCATACGCTCACAAGAAGCGATGCCCAGTACTCTAACATGTGGACCCGCGACTACAACAAGGTGCTGGCGCGGCTGCACGCGGAAAAACAATTTGATCCGGCGGCGGTGGACGCCACGGAGCGGTCGATTCAAGCGATGAAGCGCGATGTGCACGTGTTACGGTATATATATATATATATATATATATATATATATATATATTGTCCTTTTGCCCAAACTTTGGACATTTTTGTGCTGATTCTCCAAATCTATCGATCAATTCTTTGTCGTGACTTTTGTATGTTAAGATCGTGTAGTATCACACTAATTTTGGTCGCACACTAATTCGGTGTTGAATTGGTCGAAGTGTGAATTTGATCGGCCACATGATTATTGTTCTGGGTTTTGATTGGTCGATATATCGATTGTCTGGCGATTTGGTGATTCTGCTCACATTCGATTGAGAACTCGACTCCAATTTCGAATCGACTATATATATATATATATATATATATATGTGAGCACGAGGGAATGTACTTGATCGGGTGTTTGGTGGTGTAGATTATTGGAAGGCAAGTCGGCCGAGAAAAAGAAGGACGACAAGGCGGCGATGGTCGTTGCTAAACTCGGATAAGAACCTTCTAAGTCGCTGTTGAATCGATACGATATGTTTATATCTCTCCATTCAATTGTCGCTGCATATATATACAAGCCGCCACTTCATCCCCCTCGGCCATCATGTATACTAACGTTAGTATTGTTTATTCCAAAATGCCGAATCAACAGAACACCCCCATGTAGTACACCTAGAACCTTGAAATAGTGTAATACAGTACGCATTACTGGTCAATTCGTTCCATATTACTGTATTAATAGTAACAAGTTTCTACTAGTACTAATACGTAGCAGTAGTAGTATCGATCGATAGACAAGTCCAAATGTTCATCGTGAGATACGCATCACTAGCAATTTTCCATACCAAGCCTAAGTGCCGAAAAGGTGCAGATTCTGCCGGGCGTCGTCGCCAAGCTGGACCGCATCGCGCCCCAGTACAGCGGCAGTGTCTAAAATACAACGGCTTCAACACGTTTTACTACGCGACGGCTCCAGCGGTTGCCGCCCGTGCGGAATGCCCAGGGCATGGCCATCGCGGTCAACGCCGGGGGCCACCAACGCTGTGTCTACTACCTCCCTCGAGACCGAGTTATTCGGGCACTCAAGTGTATCTGTCCTTGTCATTGCTGTCGACGTCACTAGTACTACAACAAGTAGAAGTACTACACTGTACGTAGTACCCACGGATAAAAACGGGGTCTCCACCATACAGTGTCGTGGGGGGGGTCGGGGGAGTGGAGCGGAAATGAAGGTGCAGCGACCGGAGCCCTGGAAGACTTATGACTGACACCTGCCGGGTTGAACTGCACAATCGCAGAGTTGTGCACCGGATGAAGAAACCGAACGGTCGCGGGCACGTGCACCGCCGCCCCCGCCAAGTAAATCGAGACGTGGGCGATACAAATGTGCACTGTGCATTCACGTGTCCGCTATGACATTTCCTCGGTCGGCATCGATAACGCACCATCACGTCCAACCTGGTACCACCGACGCCGTCGATTTCCAACGTGCTTCACAGTGGACATACACGAGCGACTGCAACAACGCGGTGGTGTGGGGGGTGTATGTTTTCAGGGGGTAGTTCCCCCCTCGTTACATCTGCAACCAACGGGGGTTGGGGTGGTTTTGGCTTGTGTGGGTCCACAACGTGACCGGATACCACTGCCAATCCACCGTGATCACCGTGGGCTGTCGAATGTGTCGGGCACTGGGCAACGAGTACGTCAGATCGACCCGCTGTCCACGTTGAAACCTCTAAAACACTTGGACAAACGCGGTCAAAGTTGGTGTCGGCATACCATGTAAAGGTAGAATCAAACAGGGCGAAAACAGGTTGGCGTGGCGCAGCATGTGACCCCCCCACGGGATGGCCTCGCTGCACCACCGTATCCACAGAAGTACCTACGTTTCCATCTAGAGTGCATTCCAAGCCCAGAATCGTCGTGCAATGCTGGCCACTCATTTCCAGCACGTCACCGCTGACCTTGAGCAAACCATCGACAGGACCCGTGGTAGCACTCGGTTCTAGAGCAACACTCCCATCCCTAGTGGAAACAAGGAAGCTCCGAATTGCTTGTTCAATGTCCAGTGGCAGGCCCAGCTGCCTGGCTTCGTCAAACATCACGTGCCGAAAGATGGTCTCCACGTACTCCGGGACACCCCGTGGCCCTCATATTATCATTCTTATGCTCAACCCCTTTTTCTTAACGTTAATAATCGTTTTGGACCCGACGCGGGTCGTTGAACGTTGGTTGATTGGATATGTCTGTCGCAGCACTTTGCATGGCGTACACTGGAGCTACAGGTTGAGCCATAGGATAGCACGGCTGGTGTTGGTCTATCGGCTTCAACTGCGCGGGGACATGGTGCACCAGATCGTTGAAGAACGGAGTCACTTCCAGTGGCAAAAGCAAGTACCCCATTCGAACCAGCGTTCCCCCGTATTGGAACCCCACGAATTGCCGTGCGTGGTGATGCCCCCCCCCGCCTTGCTGCATCCATCGTACTGGACAAAAACAGTGGCCCCATATGTTGAATACTGTAATGCTTGGTGCGGTTCAAACCCAACATACCCCACTGGTGTGTAAACACCGTCGGGGTGATCGCAATGGATTCTGACGCGAACAAGCGAAAGAGCACCCCGACTGTCATGCTCGTTGCGCCCAGCAACGTCACCACGATCGGTCCAATCCCTGCTTCGGGGGCGATGGACATGGCCATACTCGTCATGAACCCCCCCGCGCCACACCAGATTGCCATGAATATCAAGATCTGCGTGACACCAGTTCGGCTGCTCGGAATGGTGATCAGCACCCCCCCGGACGACGCTTGCGGCTCGATGCGGTACCGCCAAGTCGGGATGACACAGGGTTCCATGTAGGGCTCCGTCGATGCCATGGTGATGCTCTACAGCTCCACGCTCAAAATCCCAACATGAACTCGACGTACGCATTGTACTGTATCACATGGCGAGTTGAATCAAACAGACCTGATCTGAAACCGACATTAGTATATGCCGTTGAACCATCCATGTTGGTGGGTTGTGGCAATAATCGTGTCATATATCCCTAACGTTAGTCGTTGGGTCTTATGCTCGCGATTAAATGCAATTCTAAGCAGCTTAAGCAGCAATCAACATCAGCTAACCTTGGAGAACAGCTGTGGCCAGGTGCACAGATATGTGCGGGTGTGCGTATAAGCTGCACTTTGTGTCGTAATTTCCTACGGTTTATCACTACGAAGAACTTGTAGTACCAGTTTACTGCGTACGTACGTGTGGCTTGTTCGAGGCATGACTTCGGGATAACGTTTATTGTTCATCACATACCTAGGAAACAATACTAGTTTTTCCCGATACTGTACCAAGAAACAGACTGAACGACGGGAACGGCGCCACTTTGATCTGATCGCCATGGGCACCATCACGTCGCCAAACACTGTCGTCATGCCATCAAATGGAACTTGGTGTCCAATTCCGACAAGAGCATTCCTACGTCATAAGTCAAGAAACACATTAACTATTGGGCTTCTTTCAGCCAAAAGTTGGAGATATTTGTGCTGATTCACCAAATTCAGCATCGATCGATTGTTTTTCCTCAGTTTTGTTTCATTTGCAAACAAAGGAAATGTCCAATGTCACGTTAATATAGAAATCACACACGAAAAAACAATTCGATGTTGAAGGGTTGAAGCGAGATTTTTGATTGGTCATTTGATTTTTGTTCTGGGTTTTGACTGGTCAATCGATTGTCTCTCGATTTGGTCTACGTACTGCGTATTCGATATCAAGCACACACCCCACACCAATTTTGAATCGATTAATGGACAATACCTACAATACCATCCATATACGTGCATGTTTATTCAGACCATTGCCTCGACTCGGTAAAATGACAAAAGCAAAACAAATAATCGACAGGGTATTAATGTTTGATTTCAGTGGTATCATTCAAGACATATACGTCGTATGAAAATCAAATCAATATCGTCCAAATTGAATGTCTACGTTGCCACATTTTCAACGACTATAGTCTGGAACAAAACTATAGCCGCACCCCAAAATTTTCAAGTTGACATTTTTGTTTTTGTCCATTACAGAAGCCGCTAGTATCATTCGACGCATATTAAAAAATGATTACTATCTACACTTAGCATTACCATGGACGCTCAATGGTATTTACAAAAAATGATAAAATTTGTATTATAGTTGGTGCAAAACTATAGCCGCACTTACAATATGTGCACTAATAGTCGATTATGGCACCCCTTTTCAAGATGACTTGAGCCATGCGAGTTGGCATGCTGTTCGCGAGGGTCCTGAAATACGCGAGAGTGATGCGGTTCCACTCAAACTGAATTTTGCACTTCAAAACATTGTCGAACTGGCGTACGAATCAACTGTTAAACGTGTAAATAAGCCCCAAGAGTCCATAAAAAATACTAACTATGGGCCAATGGAATTCAACGTACCAAAGCTGTAAATGTCGGCAGCTACCGTGAGCTGGCTCCCCTTGAGCACTTCCGGAGCAGCCCAGATAAACGTACCGACTTCATGACTCATACAGTGCGGGAATAAATGTTAAGACATTTCGAAAATAGACTGTTTCTGTACAACGAAAAGCAATGGCAATATTGTGAGAGATGCAAATCATAAAGCTGTGCCTTGGGGAGGTTGTGACCATGATGGCATGTCGTCAGTGGCAATTGTTAGCAAAATGACCAATATAAACGAAAATGGTCGTCGGTAGTAAAAATAGGACATTTGAGAAAATGAAGTATATTTCAAGAAATATCCATCGATTCAACCCACTAGTAAGGAGTCATAGCACCATTGGTCTCAACCACGGCCACACAGCGTCTCGGCATC